TCAACGTGTACTGAGTTGGTTCACTGTTTGCGTAGGGATGATCACCATGCCAAAAAGGAGTAGCTATGTGTCAGCTACATACTTCACATTTACTGATGTGATTTGAAATTTTCCTTGGAGGCAGAGCGTGCAATCATTCAAAGAGTAATATCACTTCTTCCACAAGGCGCTGCGGTCGGCAATAGCAAAAGCCAATTTCGCGGCGCAAAAAGCATAGGATAAGGACGCCGGAGGTCTGCCACTTATGGAGCTCCGCCCCTGGTATTGATCTCCACCCTTGTCGTTCCATCTTATGAACGCTATTACGCGGTGCAGTGTCCCTCGATGGTTAATGGGAAGGGGGATGGAGGGTTACGATACACGGTGTCGTCTCCATACTCCGCGCGCGCTATCCTCAATGTGCAGCAATTGCGTCGTAGAGACAAGCGAGAGAGATGGAGCAGACAAGTAGCGCGTTTGGCTATGGTTAGGCATGTGGCTAGCCGTGTGGCAGTGCGGCCCGGGCATGAAGACGGCACCCGGGTATCGCACCTTCCAGCCCGTTCCCGCGTTTTTTTTTCGCGCTGAGTGGCATGCTGCTCCAGTTACGAACCCGTTTAATCACACATGGCAAGGATCACGATCTACGGAGGCGAGTGTGCAGTTTACCCACAGAACCAAGAAGGGTCCTACTCGCAGCTTTTTTACGATTCCTTCTGTTTTTTTCTTCACTGCTAAGTTACTTTACTTCATATTCACATTTGTACTTCATTGCCCAGAAGTCTGATTGGGGAGCGCACTTCTAGAGCGCTGTGTGAGTCATAAGTGAGTAAGAAAGTGAGAACTGTAAGTAGTGTCTCGCAAGTTATAGTGCAAGCCGTTGAAACTCACAGAAAACTTATGAGATGCGACAGGAACCATACTCGAGGCATGAACATTGCGACCAGCGAAAGCATAGAAACGAACTAAAAAGCACTGTATTGAGTATAGAGACTTGAGTCGATAAACATTGAGACTCACAGGGGCTGTGCTAGCTAAATAAACGATGAACAGTCGTCTATCTGATTGTGTAATGTATACTGAGATATAGAGTATATGAATAACACCGAGAGATGCAGTGGCTGTGCATAGTATGGACGCCAGCACAATGCTATGACGTACGACGCCGGCAGATCTGAAAAAATTGTATACCATATCAGAATTCCTTATACCAAGCCACGTAAGACTGCATTCATACTTGGCGGTAGCGTCCACGAGCGTTCCGAGCGTCTGGCACCTCAGCGACTAAGAAAGTATAGATATCGATCTAGCGTCTGCCAGCGTTTACCAGCGTCTACCAGCATCTACCGGCGACGTAGCAGACTACTGGTAGAAAGTATGGGGTAAAAGGAGGGCAACAGCTGTTTGGTA